TTCGAATTTCTGAGCAGGAAGTAAAACATGAGCATTTCAAAATTATTTCTTTTTTTCTAATGTAGAGCTCTTAAACAACTTTTCGCTTTTTGGGATGTGAATTCTTTTATTAAACGGTCTTCAACGTTCGTAAATTTGGTGACTTATCATAATTTTGGCGATTTAAGATCTGTTCATAGAAATTTTTAATACGAATCTAGGATATTTTCGAGTTTTTTTTAGAACATTGTACATTGATAATCTTCATTTAAATAATGGTATATTTTTAATTATATTAGAGATAAGATTAAATAAAGCACTTTTTTTTTCTTCTTTCTTTTTTCTGTGATATTATAAAGTTCCATTTCAGCCATTTATTATATGTGAAAAATAAACAAGGTATAATGCTACAAAGCACCAATTTACAAAACAGTTCTTATTGCTAAGAACTTAAGCAAGCAAAAAATATCTTCTGGAATTAATTAAAAATTTATTTCAATGATAATGGTAGGGTTTTCTCCCATGTAATTGTCTCTGAATATTCAGAATTCTCAGGATGTGCATCGAGTTTTCTCTATAGCGTATGCTCCGGCGCAATTTAAGTTTTGGACACTTTGAAAACATTACAGTGTGAATTTTTTTACTTCTGATCCAAAATCTTTTTCTGACATGTTGGCTGTTACAAAATTGGTAGGGGTAATTTTTCTCTACGGGACACTTAGACACAAACATAGAAAATATCAAAAATGCTTCTAATCTTATCATATGGACAGGCATTATAGAAAGGAATTCTTTTATTAATAAAGATATTGAGAATTGAAAATTTAAAAGATTCATCTAATATGTCTTGATGCATCCTACACAGGGCTGGCACTAGGCACTTTCCCATCTGATGCAGTCTCTGTGGATCGTAAATTCTTCTGCCTTTCTAACTTCTGCTTCCAATGCCTGTTTTAAATTCTAAACGTTTTTCCATTTCTAGGCTTTATTGCTCAGTGTGTCACTAAAATTCTAAAAATTATGCCACATCAGCTCTCTAACCGAAGCTTCATATATATATTTCATATTTCTTCTGAATGTTCATATTACTAAAGAAATAAAATTAGCAGCTTTTTCTATACATTCTAAATGCATTTAGTTTATTTAGAATATCAGAAATCTCTAATTAAATCCAAAAATTCTAAAATGAAGAGGAAACGTGGAAGAAAGAAACTGAATACATAAAGAAAAACAAATTTGTTCTTTAAAGATATGACACTTATTATTATGTAAATTACCCAATTGTTTACAATTTCAGCCCTTGCTATAATTTCCCTTTTCTATTTTCTCACCAGAATGCAAATCATGTAGACAGTTCCTAAACCAAGGTTTTTGGAGTGTAAGACCAGAGTGTGTTTCTGACCTCCACCTTGCTCACTGCATTAGTTTCTGCCCGCTCTGATAATTTGTAATTATTTGTCTTGGATTACCATTGGCGACATTTGAGTTTGTTATGATGGTACAGTTATTGAGCCAGCCTAAAATGAAATTAAATTGTATAGTCTTTGACCACTAATCCATATTTTTAGTTTGAATTTGACTCTTCTTGTTTCATTACATCACTACGAGCTGTAATTGATTTTGTTAGCGTAAGAACATACCTTTATTTTTTTTTTTCTCATTTCTTATTTAAGTTCTTTCTATTTATTACTAGGTGTACTCGCCCGGCGTTGCCCGTGCATTTAGAAAATGCAGATAAGTGAATAGCGCAGGAATAGTAGTGTAGGACATGTAGACTGTCTCTCTCTCTTCCCCCCCCCACAAGCTACAAAAAAGAAATGAATTGTAATTAATCGATTTAATGTATCGTCAAAACAGCAAACTAACGCTAGAATAAAGAAATCAATTGTTACAATCGAACGTTATTTGAAAACAAATACTAATATCAGTGAGAGTCAAAAAAAAAAACCGTGATTAATTAATTATAAATAATTTTTTTAAAATTTTTCTAATTCAAAAATCGAAAATCGGGCTTCGAGGTCTGGTGGCCAGCCCCTTTGTGCTTCCGTATAAAAATTTCCAGGTCCCTGCGTGCGATAGATTTGGCTGGAGAGCTCGGTCAGACAGACAGACAGACACATTACACTTGCTTTTATTATTATAGATTATATATTAGTTAAGTTCTTTCTTATTTAAACCTTTGTCGGACATTGTAGTTACTTTCAGACATAGCGATAATTTGCTTCATATCTGTTGATGTGTTTTGGACTATTTAACTTTTACCAGATCAAATAAACCTTCATAGGTACATTATGGATAGGTTGACAGGTTAGGAGATAAAACACGCAGAAATTAGTGAGAACATTCTTTTGTGTATTGAGACAAATTCCTAATTGTTAGAAAAGTTACTTAAAGAGATGGGAATCGATATAAATTAGCCAAAATGTCTAGGAAGGCTTCAAATTAAAAAGACGCATAAATATTTTGTTGAATATTGTTACTACAAAACATTTTTATGTGTAATTATCCGAATATCGTTTAAGAATTAATGTCATAAATTACATGTATTTTAAATTGTGAAATTTTATTAGAATTGGGATTTTAATAGAGCTAAAAATAAATAAAATTTAATAGTGACCATGTAAATCAATAATGACTAAGGATATCTTATACCTAATTTAGTTACTTATAACTGCTTACTGCTTGCCCTTAAAAATTATCTCTGCATATTAAAGCGAGTTATTGCCTTTCATTATCCCTTACCGTAGTCACAAGATAAAACACAAAATTGTAAAATTCATGCAAAACAACCTATCATCTCTGGTGCTTTAATGGCTTATTATAACCTTAAAGTATATTAACTGAGTCACAACCCCTTCAGGTAAGCAGCAGCAGTGACAACAGCCAGTCTTTTGTTGTTCATCATGCTGATTATGATTTTACTTCTCATTTTAACCTATGCTGCTTGACATAAAACTGCTTACTATTTACTAAAGCTCCAGACTGAGCAAGTATGTGACAAAATGAGGTATAAAATAAAATCAACATAAAACTAACTGTTAGTAAAATGTAAATAAAATGTCATTTATCTCCTTTCAAATATGTTCAGTTTTAAGTGTAAAATATATAATGCTCTTTGATAAATTTCATATATTTTATTCTCAGACTTTATAATAATTATGTTCATTAAGTCATGTTTAATAATAATGCATCCAACATACAGATCTATTTTGTTTTTAGGATGGTATTACAAAAGTGAAGTTCAGGCATAGATAGTATTTTTAATTGAATTTATTCAGTTTGCATTCGCTCATAGGTTCTTAATTTTTTTCATTAAGGCTCCTTAAAAGTACTTAATTTCTGTGTGCAGAAATGTGTACGAATCCTGAATAAGTTATTGCAATAATATATATAATAATTTAATTAAATGTAACTAATACACCTTTATTTATTTTATAAACATTTATTTATTTATTTATTTTACACTTTTAGTCTGAATATTATTATTTATCTTTTCTGTCCTGAGATCCGCACAACCTCTGGTCCCAAGCTTTGCGGATTTCTGGAATTTTACTGTATCTCTTTTGGAAACACAATAATTATCTGTAGTCCTTCAGTTGCAGAATGAGTGTTAAGAATTTATATCTGGATTTATTTTTTAGAAATCTCGCAAAAAATATTTAAAGCTTTCAGATGATTTTTTTTATTATAACCACTTATAATGAAAAATAATGTTACAGGAGTAAAACAGGATTCCTTAAAATTTAAGTATTTTTAAAAATTTCTTTCAAGAGAGTAAAAACTGTGTCAACACTCTTCCTAATTCTTAAATAACATTTTTAAAATTGCTATTTAGTAAAATTTTATAATGAGGACTTTAGTCATAACTAAAAACACAATTTCAAAAAATAAATAACTGGACATAATTTAACCCCTTAACTGCCGCGGAAAACGTACAATTTCATTTCCCAGTGCCAAGGTTTTTCACACATGTGCGCATAGTTATGCAATGTATTAGGGAAAATAAGTGCAAATTTTACTTTCTAAAAACTGTTTACTCTCACGAAATAATGAATAAAAGAAAAAAAATGAATGCACAAAATTTAATGTTTTGAGTAAAAGTATAATAAAAAGATGTAAGGTATTATAAAAATGATGTTTTTATAATAAAAAATGATCCCTAAAATGGAGTTTTGATCAATTCATTTTTAGACCAGTAAAGTTTCATTGTTATCATTGACCAGTATCAGGTTTCAGTTGTTATACCTTGTGAAAATCAGTATACTTAAAAATACATATATTCCTTCTGAACTGGTTGAATGCCATGATTTTGTTCTTGATTTTTCGTTTGCAAAAGTGTTGGGTCATATACTCGTCTACAAAACGGTTAGTTTCAGTAACAATATGAAGCATAGGCAGTTCATCAAAAAATAATTCAAAAAAGATAAATGGGTTTGAAACATCTGTTATATCTTTCTTTATTCCTGGAATCTACTACAAAAAGTAAGCGGAGGAAACGGAATAAAAAAAAATGACATTTTATTCAAACAACACCAGCCAATACTGCACAGTCATTACTTTCACCGCTTTAGACACAACCCTCTCTCCAATTTCTCCCTACACTTCTCTGAAATAGTATCCTCCTTCACAGAGTTTGTCAAGGTCATTGTGGTGTTGCATTCCAAAGTTTTGCAAATAATTTTACGGGTAGCAGCGCAATGCAAATGATAGTAATTTGGAAGGGCGTATATATACGCTTGGGGCATTTAATACATCGGTTGAGCAAGGCGTATACATATACGCTGGCGGCAGTTAAGGGGTTAAAAATTTTAATTTTTGAGAAGTTTATTCACATATACACACCATACAGAAATAGTTTACCTATGTCAGATTTAAAACTTATATGCTTATCACATGTAATATTTATGAATAATTACTTTTTGAAGCACAGTTATTCTAAATGTTCTTAAAATATAGTGGAAAAAATATGTATACCTTACAAAATTTATTTTATTTATTTATTTTTTTTTTTTTCTTTCCAGGAATTAAAGAAAACAGCATTAACACTCAAATTACAGTTTCCAGATATCTTGATTGAAGCTAGTGGAGGTATTTCAATGGAAAATGTAACAGATTATGTAAATCCATGGATAGATATAATATCAAGTAGTTCATTAGTACAAGGCTACAAGACTGTTGATTTTTCAATGAAAGTAAAAAAAGGAAGGTCATAAAAAAATTTTTAATAATGAAATAAAAAAGCCAAAAAAAGAGGTGCTGATTGGATTACAGTATTAGAAGCCCTAAGGTAGGAGTGCTTCAGTCATTTATAAAAAAACTAGTTTTTGGAAAATTTAATCAATCAAAATAAAATGAAAATAAACAATTTCATTTTGAATTGCTGATGATGAGACTATATTTACTGAGAAACATAGTTCCTAATCACTTTCTCATGCATAGATTTTTATTTGTATTTTTTACACAGAAGAACATGACTTCTTAATGAAACTAAATAATCTGGACTTCAACAACAATTTAAGACGTATGGCCAAAGAATAAAATTTGCTATCTAGCTATTACCAAAAATTTCTCTAATTTGTATAAAATAAACCCCAAATGCATATATTTTCATATGTGGTGAAGTTAAAAACATTTTTAATCCAACCTACATACAGAATTATAAAACTTAATACAGTACAGCTGCAGTTCAGTATTATGGAGAGAAATACTAATTTATAACTGAAATCTTAATTTTGAAATTATATATAAATTTTTATGGAAATTGTATTATTTTCCTTTTAAAGAAAGGAAAAATTGAGCTTATAAAATCATGTTATATTGATGTTTTATCTTGAGAGGTCAGTGTCTAATATTTTTTAATTTCATCTTCACAAACAAAAAATGAAGATATGAAGTTTTTCATCGTTATGTTTTTGTATGCACCGTCATCATGTTTGCATTTTGTTAAAGCACTTATAAATGTAGTTCCTATTTTAATATATGTTGTGCTTATCATTACTGTTACTATAGATTCAAATCAACACAAATGTATTGATGCATAAAGTATAAAATAAACCTTTACTAACTATGTTCTTTAGCATAAAGTTCATCTATCTTAGTATATACTTCTTAGCATTTTAATAGTACTACAAGTTTAGATTTTCAGAAGAAATCTAGATTCTACTGTTAACTATTATGTCTTGTACTCTACAATATTTTGTCCGTTACTTTGCATTGATTTTAATGAAAAGATGTTATCATTATCAGGTCACTCTTATTATAAAAATCACTCATTAAAGTTACTGTTCCATTAATATGAGCAATGCAAATGTGCCCAAATGAATCCACTTCCATTACAGCGATCATTTGTTACAATGACTTTCTTTTAGCATGTGAGGGGTTGTTATAGCAATGTCGATTGTATACTTATTTATGACCCAAGTTTGAATTAAAAACACTGCATGCACAGAAAATTGAAAAAAAAAAAAAAAAAGTTTACAAGTTAGTTTTATCTAAACTTGTATATCATAATATTAATACAGTCAAAAGTCGTTAATCCGGACCTCAAAGCTACAAACTTTCTGCGCATGCGCATAATACGTTATGCATGTGGGTTTAATGTATAACGGACGGTATAAGCTAAGCTAAAATTATCTATTTCAGTTAATGTTGCAGATTGCGTTATTCCTTAATCTTCGAATTGGATCCGGCTTATTATTTTTTGCAGACTGTTAGAGCAATTTTATAAAAGTAAGCTTGAACTTTCGATTATGTCAAATAAAATTTACGATATACAATATATTTAATATATAAAGGATCTACAAAGCAAAAAAGTATGTTTCGAAGTCCATCAAACAAAAAGTGGAATTGCTGCAAAAAAGGATAAAGGCATATCCTTTTATTCTCTAACCATTCCGAAATCTGTTTATCAATTTCATGCTGCTCTGCGGAGGGAAAAGCATCGCGGGGCGCAATGAACTGGAAGTTGATCTGTCAGCAATATCTTTATCTTCAGGGCAGATGTTTTTATTTTATTCAGCTTATAATTCCTTACTAAATGTAGTATTTCATCTCGATGTATTCCGTCTTTCATACGATTTAAATCAAATTCATCGTCATTACAAATATCACGAGTACACATCAAGTAGTTTCCTGGTTGCAATTTTCTAATTTCGACTATGTGTAATGTATGCTTTACGCATGTGCGCGTTGAAAGAAATGTTTAATAAACTAAACAAATAAATATTAAGTTTTTTTTTTTGGTAAATTTTGATACCCTTTAGATCATAATTGCTCTTTATTTCATAAATTAGTTTTATATTTTTAATTTTATAATTTCTGCATGCCATCTTTCCAGATTTAAACTGATGATCTATAATCCGGAATCGCCGAAGTCCCGTCGAGTCCGGATTAAAGACTTGACTGAATAGCATCTAAGCTATATCTTAAAAGATTTCATTATTACACAGACAAAAAAGCAATTAATTCATGCAGAACTTGCAAAATTTGAAAGAAATTATGAGATACCCATTCCACCACAAACTCTAAATGTTCTGCAATTTTAATTATTTAGCCAACACAATGTGTCTTAACAAAATCGGAATAAAGAAATGATCCATATATACTTTACAAGCTGTAAATATAAATTAAGAGAGAAGTCTAATAAAAGAAATTGCTTTATTTCAAAGCTGGCTACAATGTCTCTCTTTGCAGATGCAATTTCATTAGTATATCAGTGTCTATAAGTTATGGTCTCATCTTGATGTCTTACGTTTTACAGCATTATTTTATAATAAATAAAATGTATGTATGCCAGGATTATTATCAGCAAGAATCTTCCAATGTTCATTCTTCTAAAAAATATTTGTATTTTAAACTCCTGCAAAAGAAAATGCTCATAATTATAATGATTTAAATTATTACAAAAACAAACAAATATAAATTATTATAAAGACACAGACAATTCAGAATTTTCTGAGTAAAGGACTGTGTAAATTGCTCAAGCTGGTAGGGAGAAAATAATTTCCCCTTCCAAAAAATAAAAAAATTACTTTTATTTATATTTTTTTAAATACACTCATTAAAACATTTTAAAGAACTACGATCTGAGGTCAATCAAACCATTTTCTTACAAAGTAAATTTTTCATCAAGAAAATAAGTGATTGTTTATTAATCTATAAATAGCTGATGACTATTGATAGAAGTCACTTAATTGGCACTTGGTGAATTTACAACCAGTCTATATTTATAAATTAAAATGATTTCAACTGCTTTTCCAATACTGAAAAATGTGCATATATTTTAAGTTTATATTATTATATCAACATCTAGACCACCATATTCATGTTTATAATATAAAATATGATTGTTGCAATGCACTTAAACCATATGTTCATTACCTTCTCTAAAATGTATAATTTATGTATTTATTCGCTAATAGTGCACATATATATTACATGCACAATATGAAGTTATTTTTTTCATCTACCTTACAAACAAGAAATTTTATGTTGCAGACAGCATTAGCTATGTCATCAGTTTATTTATTTCCAGTACTAAATATTGCTTTACAATTAATTAATTGGAAGTACCAGTTGCAATGAAGAAAGAACTGTTGATTTAAAGGTACCTTTCAACATAAGTATGAAGGTTTGCACACTTTCTGGAGCGTCAACCATAGAACATCATCTTAGGTGAAATGGAATCTTGGAAAATATCCCTGGAGGATTTATTGATATAGTCTTCTGTAACTAATGTTCTGTTTCACTGTATGGTAAACTAATAGTAATCACTTGTTATAAAACCCTTATTGATACAACAAAAAATGTCTAAAGCAGAAGACTTTCCTTCCTTCATCATGTCCAGCGTTACTGTTAATATTCCCTCTCGATGTTGAATTCATGTTTACAAATTATGCACTAAGTTTTGGAAATGTTTACAAGGAATCATGAATATTGTTCTTCTCATTTACACAATACAAAGAATTTATTTCCTTTTCAGTAGTATTCTTACATTACTGCTGTTTTACAGACTGACACAAGCCTGGCATCTGTTATAAGATATATTAAATATCGTTGGGCCTTGCTTAAGTCCTGCTCTAATTTTTATAAAGAACACCCAAGGGGCAATTTGAAGGTCTTCCATTCTTTTTTCCCTACAATTAACCAGCTAGAGTACTTTCAGCTTGCTGTGTATTTTGTATGCCCCCTTGCCACGCAGACACTATACACTTACAAATATCCATGCCTTCTCCAAGATTTAAACTCAGGCCCCTCAGCGCAGTAGTCAGCATCAGTAACCACTGTACCATTTGTGCAGCGACTGCTATTTACAGTTAATGTTCATCTCTATTATTGAATAATAAAGAATCTGTATGTATGTTCCTAGCATTCTGCAAAAATGGTAACACCTAGAGCCCTCCACTAAACATGTGCATCTCGAATTCTGAATTTGTTTCATGTTTTGTACTAAATAATAATTTTTATCAATAAACTCAGCAGTTTAAAAGCAATGTGTTACCAAAAGAAAACCGAAAGATATTTATGTTTAAATCTTAATTAGAAAACTCAGTGTTTAAAGAAGATTTAAAAGAAATATGTTGCCACTGCCTGAAATAAAATGTTTTCTTCCATGCACCAGTGTATTTAGGAATTATAAGCTATTTAATTTTTCTTTCGAATTTAATCTGTAACTGATTAGTTTAAAAGAAATGAATGCAGTTATTCATTGTTGTTATTATTAATTCCTTTTTGCCATCTGAAATTACACTAGCTTGACTCAAAATAATTTTCTTTTTCTTTTTTTTAAGCAGCTGGCTACACAAGCAATTAGAGATAATGGATAGTAAAAGATATTACTTGGAGAATGAAAAGTATGAATTGACATAACAAGAATAGAAGCAGCATATCAGTAACTAGAAATGGTACAATGTTCATAATGAAACGGGGGGGGGGTGAGTGAGAGATTATGGCGCAATACCAAAGATGATTATAGTGCGCCAAACACGTGATGGGGTGAGTACAATTGATGAAATTAAAATACAATAAATAAAAACAAGTAGACAAATGTATCAAATCCAGAGGATGAAGTCATATAAGAACAAGTTAAAAGCACACATTTAAAATTCAAGATACAGTCTTTAAAACAAATTACATTAGGTAATAAAAGCCAATTTCTTTCAAATAATAAAATAAATTACAATTGACCTCTCTTCCGATTAAACGGTCGAGAGGTAAGTCACAGCTATTAAAATATTTCTGGCGAAGAAGGACTATTAAAACATGTACACTCAATGGACACTCAATTAAAATATGACGAACAGATAAACAAACATTACAATTAAAACAAACAGGCTCATTTTCAGCTTTGAGAAGATAGTTATGTGTCACTCTAGTGTGACCAATTCTTGAGGCGAGTCAAAAGAACTTCCTCCTTACGATTTCCAGGTTGAAATCCCAATGCTCAATTCTAGGCTTTACATGTCTCAACTTGTTGTGAAGCTGAACATCCCAAATTTGCTGCCATTTTTTTTCGGATTTTTCCCTTGATGACACAGCAGATATCTCTAAAAGGGATAAGGCGACTGGACAGTTCAACAGCAGATTTGGCTGCCATATCTGCAAGCTCATTTCCCTTTATTCCAGCATGTCCAGGAACCCAGCAGTACAGGACTTCATATCCTCGAATCGTTAAATTTATATGAATTTTGAGTGCAACATCCACTACCACAGGATTCTGAGTGTTGGGAAAAGCTTCCAAGGATTTAAGAGCACTATACGAGTCTGTATAAACTATGAACTTTTTGTGGCAGAGCTTTGAGATGTACAAAAGACCATAATATATTGCAGTTAGTTCAGATGTTAGGACTGAGAAAGCATGGTGCAGGCATCTGCCCTCTAATGTAATCTTCAAATACAAATGCCATCCCGACATGATCATTTGACTTTGATCCATCTGTGTATATCGGATAATAACTGCTATATTTGTGCCTGTGCTCAGCGAAGAGTTGTCTGCAAACGATCTCGTTAGTGCTTGCCTTCACATGATGTTTGAAAACATCAAGAAGCTGAATCCGTGAATTTTCCCAATGTGGAATTTCAAAATTCTGTACTGCTTGGGTGCACATATCAGAGAGGGAAAGTTCCTCAATGACAGGGCGAAACTCTTAAAGGAAAAGGTAGGAACACAGGATGGACGTGTTTCAAATAATGAGTTACACTCATTATCAAGTAAGCACAGCTTATTGGGATGTTCAGGTTGGGATAAAATATTAAAATATTGTAAAAGGGACAATTGCTCACGCCTCAGATAAAGTGATGGTTCGTTAGAGTCAACATATAGGCATAATGAAACGGGAGTTTTCAGAATAATTTACATTTCTTTCAGTTTGGAATTGGCTTTAAAAGTACTTCACATCATCTACTACTATTTCAACATACATGTTATTTGTATGACAGAGTAGCTTTAAGCAGAAAAACCATGCTATCAAAGTAAAACAAAATTATATAAATCTGTAATTAGTTACTCAAACACTATGACAAAACAATACACTAACAGAATAAAGCACCACCTATGAAAATATTACTGCCATGATGGCCACAGATTGATGAATGAACTTAAACTGTCTTATGACTCAGAAAACTACAGATTTTCATCAACTTCTCCCAAAGGCAAAAGTTTGAAAGGCAATTTCACTTTTCAGTACAAATGAAGTTTTTCTCATTAACTTAGCTTATGTGAACATGAAGGAGATTTATAAGAATATTCAAGCACTTCTTTATAAATGCATTCTGAAAATCATCAGTGAAATCTTAAAGGCTTATTAACTGACAGGACTGTAAATAGGCTTAACCAAATATTGATAGTCTTTTAATGCAACTAGAATAGTAAAACAAGGGATATCAACCATAGTTAAGAACAAAGGTTTACATGAAGGATCTATGTGAAAATACATTACTTCATAATAATTATAGCATGTGAAATCCAAGTTTGAAAAAATCATTTACCTTAAATTTCACATAGAAATGGATATCCTTAATAACTTTGCTAACACTATGGATCAAAAGCTGGATTGTTTCTCTAATTTAAAAGATAAATTTTCCAGCAAAAACGAAGATAAAAAGTAGTTTTATACTGATTATGGATAAATTAACAATCCAAAAACTTTGTCTGATAGACATTCTCATTCTATCTGATATGTTCAATGTAACTAGTTACAGAACAAACAGCAAGCTTTTCAGTTGCTGGTATCATTCATCTTGCTATTAGACAAAACTTTTAAAAAATAAGCTGTAAGAAAATCCATGTACTAGGAAAAAGGAAATTTCTAAATCCCCCATATCACAGAAGTAGGTGCTTTTATAAGTTTGAAACTATCTTTCATTACATATTCAAGAATAATTAATTCACTTGTAATTTTTCCCAGCAGTGCCACTGGACTTATTTAGAATCATCAGCTGAGTAGATATACAGAAGAAAGTTTTGAAAAATCACCACCCATAGGATCACCAGAAATACTTCTAATGCAAGATAAAAGCCAAAAGAAAAAATGTTTGAAAGAAAAGAAAAATGGCCTTTAAGCCAGACGGATTCTGATGGTTACATCCCATGTTCGACCCCCATCAATAGAAAAATTTACATGCATAAGCATTTTTGTTTCTTTGTACGGATATATAAAAAATGCTTGCCAATGGTATCTCTCGATCTAGCCATCAAAAACTAATTAACGAAAATATTATTATTGTACAAAATTTTAATGAAAAATCTTTTAGGTATATGTGCACTGACAAATAATTTTAAGTTAACTACCAAATCATGTAAAATGGTATGACTACAGTATGTTTGCAAAATTTTGTTGATTTATGCTGAATTTCTGATAA